GTTAATGATAACAAAAGGTCAACTCCAACACCAAATGTTCAGATCACCGTTTGAGTTTTACAAATGTCCTGACAGATAAGTACACTACTAATATGAATATGCCCAAAGTGAAAGGCGTTGATAAATGATTGTCTGTATCATCGTACGCATATTAGGGTAAATATTCTCATGAATGTTTGACTGATTACAGAGATTTCCGAGGAAAAATTACTATACACATATCTGCGATACATGGCTGCATATCCAAAACGGTAAGGGTCTTTTACAATAGTGCTAGTTTGGAGAACTAAACCGGCGTCGTCAGGTACATACTGGATGAAAAAAAAAATCCAACCACACTTAACACACACACACACACATATATATATATATATATATATATATATATATATATATATATATATATAGAGAGAGAGAGAGAGAGAGAGAGAGAGAGACAAATGAAATTCAAACGTTCACAACAGTAATCTAAAAATAAACCTCGACACAATAGTAGAGCGATAATTCTTTATTATAGGATATTACATTCGAACTTATTTAGAACCGATACATAAATGCATTCAGGTTTCGATGCATATCATTGCATCAAATCAGATGGTGGTAAATGAGGGTTAGAATAGTGATGAGATGTAGCACGCTTGAACTCACGTAGACCGTATACCGAGTCGAGATGCCAAGACAGGATCGATTATATTGCAGATCCTTCTTTGGATTTTGTTAAGACCCTCAAGATGAGTAAATGATAGATTTGTAAATGGACCCAACGTCCTTAGAGTAGATGAATCTATTGATTCGATGTAATCGTTCCACTTAAAGTCAATTGAAAACGTGAGGCCAAGAAAGCACAGTGTGTTGATCTCCATGGGTATAGCACAAGCTATACTGATGGTAGGCAGGAAACTTTCTCTATGGTGGTTAAATGACAGCAGTTTCGTTTTGGAGGCATTAAAATTTACGAGCCATTACCTGCGCCAATTAACCACAGATTGAAGGTCCTTTTCAAGGGCAGCCGCCAGGTTAACTTTCTCAGGATAGAGACTTGCGGGATCCCCACATTTGTGTGAAAGGATCTGGAAACCGAACCCTTCAAAGCGACCTTCATTTCACGATTTGATACGAACAATTAGATTAAATAAAACAAACGTCTAGTAATATAGTTCTGGAGCTTACGTAGAAGACCAGCATGCCAAACCCTGTCAAATGCCTTCGAGATACTTAGAAGTCCAGCTCGAGCTTCGCCGTTATTAGCAAGAGTTATACATATTTAGTGATGGCCGTTAGCATATCAGCGGTAGACCGGGCCAAACGGAATCCATATTGTTTGTCATAGAGTAGGTCGTGAGAGGTAAGATGCTTTACTACTTCAGCATTAATTAAAGTTTTGAATACTTTGCCGAAAATCGGTAGGTAATTGATGGGGCGTAGTTAGATGAGTCAGAAGGTTCTCCAGAGTTCTTAAAAATAGGAACTACACAGGAGAACTGTCAACAAGCTGGAAAGCAGAAAGCAGCGAGGCTATAGTTTGGAGAGAATTGGAGACAGGTCGGGAGGACATTTCTTTAGGTCGATGGCTAGGATCCCGTCATCTCCCCTTTCTTTATGGGTGTCTAATTTAGAAATGATGTCTAAGTCCAGTGACGAGGTTCCACGCATATCACTCAGTGGAATCTCTGTCCTATTGGGGAAACCAGGTTTGTGTACTCCCAATGAGTCAAGTGTTGAGTTGGAAGAGAATTTACGAGCAAAGCTTTCAGCCTCATCTACTTTAGATGTCTGGACTTCGAAATGATTGAATAGAGGAGGGATTGAGGGTTTGCTCTTGCAGAACCGTCAATAACCTCTAGAATAAAACTTTCGAGATCCTATACATTGGTTCATTCTATCAGCAAATAGCAACTACGGGCAGAGACAAAGAGACGTCTATTGTAATCAGATTTCTGTGGGTTATAGCGGCCGAACATGCAAGAGAGAACCAAGGAGATGAACACGATTTACCTCGGTATTTCCTTGATAGAATGAAAGCATCGATACCAGCTTTCACCCAGGAGGAGACCTCAGACGCGCATTTTTGAACAGGATGATTAAAAACTACATTCCAAGGAACGTCACGAAGGAAATAACGGAACAAGTCACAGTCTACTCGTTGATAGCAGAAAGATATTCTGCTGGTAGGAGTTTCTTGGTTGATGGGGGTGATGAAAGAGATGTTTACAGAGACTACCGCATGATCAGAGTTGCCAAGAGGTCAGAGCTGCAGGGTATAACATGAGCCAGGGATAGAGGTAAAAGAAATCTAGAAAAATAGCGAGTTCACCAGGGTTATTGGGGAAACACGTGAGGAAGTCCACTACTTGCGTGAGAAATTGAGTGATTGAGAAGTTCAAGATTTGGATGTCAGCGTGGTCAGTGACTGAGTGCTTAAGCCACCTGGCATGGTTGGCATTGAAGTCGCCGAACACAAGTATATCTGCAAACTGGTGTAGGGAGATGGCCTTGTGTATATTATCAGAAACAGTATCTAGCACGTAAAGGTCATGAGAGGAACACGAACTGCTTTTATCGGTCAAGCATTTTTGTCCATTCGTCGACATCTGGGAAAGGACGCCCAATTTTTGCATATCAAAATACTTTTATAGCGACTCCTTCGACGGACTTGCTTTTTTAATTTACATATTCCGTCTTCAGCATGTGATGCGGAATACGTGCCCGGGGGGGGGGGTAAGTAATTTTGTTTTTCGCCACATTTTCCGTCGTAGGATACGTGCGACGCGCTGTCGCTTGGTTTGACGACGTAAGTCGCCGTTTTCTTCGCTATACCTTCCTAAAAAGAGTAAGATAGCTAGGAATCAAGAAATCAGATTGAAGTGTTAAGATTAGTTTCGCTGAGAGCTATGATTTCCGGAGACTTTTCGAAGAGGAAAGATTCCACACTGCAGAAGTTGGTACGAATAGCACAAATGTTGGAGAAACAAAGATGAAGGTTTTTGCTGAGCTGATTTAGATTTATATCTTTGGTTGCTAATAGTCATGGTGTATTATTTTGGTAAGGAAATGCATAGAGTAGTAGTAGCACTCGGTCATCTAATGTAATATATATGGGAACGGAACTGTCGCAGACTGCAACATAGTGTGGCGTCGGGGTTACCCGCTGGAGGTGCTTGCAGGGACATCCTTTCATGCACGACATGGCCCTGCATGGATCCCGATATTATGCGATTGCTGATCAGGGAAGCCTCTTAAAGCATTGCGCAAGAGTTAGGGCTCCTAACAAATAGTCGCGAGAAGAAACCATAAAAATGCTAACACGGTACTCTCAGAATGAAGAGACGGTGCCACCATCCACACATATCACAAGAAATTAATGACAGCACCACTATTAAGTCCTGAGAAAAGGGAAGGAACAAAGAACCCCTTTGTAAATAGGAAAAAGGCATGAGCATCTCCTGTTCAAGAGAAGGGGAAGGGCTATACACAGGGCGATAGGAAAGCCTATATACTCGTTTAAAAAAGAGGTACTATGTTTTAACTTAGTTAAAGTTGTGATTACTCTTAGAAATGCAACAAAGTGTTAAAAATGGCAGATACCTGCCTCTGAAAGAAATTTACAAGAAGACAGTCCTATGTTAGAAATCCAGTTAAGTTATATCAAAGAATGGACACTCAGATAACTTATTTGGAAAGTCGATCTGCAACCCACTGAACTTTTAGACCATATCATGTTTAACTGACATTCTAGTAGATTAAGAGGGAGAGGTAGAAAAATGGGTATTAGGACGGTCTCTCCTTAGAATCAGGAATGAGTGGCCGGTGCTTGCAAACTTTTCCGCGGAAGTGACATGAATTCTTCTTACTCAGTGGTATTTTGTCGTTGACCGGTAATCTAGCATGATGACACTTCTCATATGACTTAATTCATTTGCTTTATTCAAGGAAACCTAACCGTTAATGTCACTTGTGAGTTCATACCTGTCACTTATATTTGGCACGAACCTTCTTTTTTTTTCCGCCACGTAGTGCGATTATCCGCGTGTAACTACCAGTCATACGTAAAAATGTTTGCAAGGTTCAGTGATTCTTTCATATCATCCTTATAATGCTCCTGTGGCCTATGGGCTGGTCGATTTCCGCTAGTAAGCTCTCCATATAAAAAGCTGCTTTTAAATCCTGCCACCATTGTGATCTCTCCAACGCAACCTATATTTCAGAATTGTTGCTTCTAGATATTTATTATGTAAAAATTACATAATTGTGGCACAAGGCTGAAAAAGGGGAGGGATTAAGGCTGGTCCATACTAACTATCTTATACCGAGCTAATCCGATTCACGAACCATTCACTCATTACAATTTACCCATTCACCACAAGAACTCGTCCATCACCAATCAATCCTCCATACACCATAATACCACATCCTCTCTAGGGGGACCTACAAAACGCGCCCCATGCCATAAAAATGAACCCAGTAACAAACTGAAATATTAACACAAATCAAATTGAACATTACTGATGTTAGTAGGGCCCGTCCAGACCTTAAAAAGAAGAGGCCGCTGTATTCTGCCAATGGGACAAAATCAAGAAGCTCTCTCACTACGGGTGTGGGAAAAGGATAAAAATTAATACGGGCATGGGAAAATATAAAGCTGAGCCAGTCGAGATGATAAAAGGAGTGGGGTAAAACAAACTTGGGCGGTGGCGGGGGGAATCTCGACTTGAATCCTAACCAATGAGGCAGCCGGGAAACAGGCCAGGAACAACATTTACATGAACTAGGTACACTAAGGCTTGTCTAACCTAACCAAGGGGAGGGCTGCGCAGGAAACCACTCCGATGTGACGTAGGCTGACCTAAAAGAGAAAATCAAGGCTAGCCCCGTTCAAACGAACCAAGCTCGCCTCTTTCACCCACATTTCGCTGAAGACTGTCGAATGCAAGCGTTTTCTATCAGTTCTAATCTTCTATACTGCCACGCTGATATCCGTAAAGCGCTTAGACGTCATTGACATGCATTCTTCAGTTGGATCCAAATATTCGACGCCAGCATTGTTGATGAAAGCGCTTCAGCTGGTTCAATTCATCGCGATAGACAACCCATATTTTGTATGCATGCAACAACAACGTTGAGGCACACACATATTTATGCATACATATCTTTATGCATCCGTAGACACAGGGATTTATCTACTTACTTCTATCTATATATATACACCGTTGCATATACACACGCATACACGCCCATACACGTTATATATATTCCCATATATAAAGAGTTCATTTTGTGTGTGCTTATACGTGTGAATGGGTAGATTGATTTAATCATTGACGCTTAAGCACATGTAAACACGGTTAATAATGTTTGAATCCTTGATAAATTTCTCTCTTTAAAGCACCGAAGGACTCCACTGGGTACAGAAGACGACACCAGAGAAAAGATATTTTCTCGTCAAAGTCGTCTTCCGAAAAGTACGGCCATTTTTTTTTTGTTTCCCATAATTTCATTTATAGGCTGCAAATAAGCGACAACTTCGTTAGCACCTTATCAAATTACCGGCACTTGGCAACTCTTGGGCTGCTAAAAGGCGAACAGAAGCAACATCTTAAATATTTTGGCAAGCAACTCGTTTCGAAATCCTAATCAATAGAGACATGTCCTACCGATCTCAAAGGTCTATATCAAGTAAAGAGAGAAAATAAAAAGACAAAGAAAGAGACAAGTTCTAAAAAGGAAAGAAGAGAATCTATACATGGAAGGAAGTTACAAGGTTGGTGGATGGTACAAGAAAGGCAGGGAAAGCAAAGAAAAAAAAAACCCTTGTTAGTTGGTGGATGAAGGAGTGGGAAAAAAAAACGAGAAGGAAGTTGTGATGATGAACTCAAAAGAATCGAGCCGAGATTCTTGGATACGAAACAAAAATGCGTAGGAGTAAAAAGAACTAAACTGGTGTCGCCTAGGAGGCGTATAATATGGAATTTGAAGCCGAAAAAGCCAGAAAAGGTTGAGATAATAATCTGTAAAGAAAAGCCATATTTAAGAAGCGATAATGTGTCATGTGATACGTTTCCATTTAAGCATGAATAACTTCATTACTCACTCATTTGTATAAAACTGTAAATGCTTACACATATTTATATATACTGATTTACTGATTGTTAACGCCATAACGTTTCAGTCGTTGTAAGCCCCAGTTTACTTGAGATAGCTTTCGTAATTGGGATAACTTTCCCTTAATTTTGAATAGGCTCCATTATTCTCTCAACAGGAATACGTTCTTTTCATTCCGTTATCCTTGTTAGAGAAGACAAGGTCTAGAATTGTTGCGCAGATAGCAATCAAAATGAAGACGCGAATCCTAGTAATACTGCGTATAACAATGCTAAATTCCCGTCTTAAAAATTTATAAAATGCTTACAAATTCTATATATTTTATTTGACATTGATTTGCAGGGCAAAACTAACGGAAATGATTTCTTTAATTGGTGACCATGTAGACTCTGAAACTAACACAAATATATTAAACAATTGTCACAGAATAATGCCAGATATCAATCTCTGATTATTATAAAGGATCTCCACAAAAACCATTAGTGGGAATGTATTAAGAGCAAACGACCTATGATTCCCAAATTTAAAATCTGCGACGCGAGTTCAAATTTCGAGTCAGGTTGATGATATAATAACATCTTCATATATTTTATCACCTACATCCTGTAATAGTCGCTACACGCGCATAAACAATTCATATCCTAAATATAACAATTATTATGGAAAAAAAAGGTTGCGCTTTTTAGTAGATGAAGAATTGTCACCATGTATTTAATCTTTTTTAACTAGTGTTTCTCTCATATATTTGCTTTTCATTGCAATTATTTCGCTTCTTTTTAGATGAAACATTTTCAACCATGGATATATGTAACTTGAAGAGAAAATAATGACATAATAAAGATGATGACTTCCACACTACTTCAAATAAAAGGTTAGAAAGGAAACTCCTATTAGTACTAGAAAGAGCGATAACAGCTACTGGACTTGAAAAAGCTATTTTTTTGAAAGAGAAATATTTTATAAATTTCAACCGAAAATGCCTGCTTGGTCAATGAATGACAAAGATTTCCTTGTTTTTTTTTTTATTACAGTTTTTCCGTCTCACTTTCATTAACTTCTTATCGCAAAATTTTGACTGACAAACTCCTGGTCCGAATAGTTGGGATGAAATTTAAGGAAAAAGAGCAAAAAAGAAAAGAAAATATTAGGTAAGCTACGCCCTTAGGATTCCGACCCCAAGGCAGCACTTCCCCATATATAATATGAGAAGGTTCGGCGTTATTCTAACGTTTTCGTGACACTGATCGTAGAGTCAGGAAAGGTTTTGTATGTGTCCATACGTGAACATCTTCCATTTTTAAATTGACCTTGTTTCATACACTATCCAGGTGGGTAGTTAAACATTGGATCAGAGATGTAGTATCAATGTGTACTATGAATTATTAAACATCTAGACTTATT